TTAAAGGCATTTTTAGCCTTGTAATTTTCCATTAAATTTCACTTATTCATTTGGCCACTGTTCAAGCCTTTTGAATGTACTCGTATCATACACTTAAAATATGTATGTACGAGTAGCAATTCCTTGCGTATATTTTTAAAATTTCTCAGTCTAACCATGTGACAAAATTTTTTTCCCCAAAACTAGTGCAAACATTTATTACTTTCTCTCTAAGTGGGCCACAGGTATCCTGGATTAAAAATAATTGCATTAGTATACTTTTCCATTGACCAAACTTTTCTCTTTTTATCCTGCTCCTGTCTTTGGAAGTGAATTCCTCGTTCATGATGAGCTATCATACTAATATTTTAGTTTTCAAAGTTTTTTATACAGTTATTCCAAGACTTTGGGGGGGGGGAATCATTAAAAGCTTCAATGAATTGTTAGGCATTTTCTCACACTTTTAGTTATTTCACTTGTGAAAGAAACCAATTTTTTTAAATTTAATTTTTTTAAAGAAGGCGTCTTGTGTCAGATGACAGTGGAAGTGGAATACAGTCAAAAGTCATTAATCTGGACACCCATAATCCGGACCTCAAGGCTACAAGCTTTCTGCGTATGCGTCAACGCATAATGCGTTCACGCATGTGCATAGGTGTTTACGCATGCACGCGCATGTGCATAATACGTTTACGCAAGCGCCTTTAATGTATAATGGACGGTATAAGCTAAACTAAAATTATCTAATTCAGTTAATACTGGTGTTTTCCTTGTCTCAAATGGATCCGATATTATTTTTTGAGACTTTGATTTTATAAAGTAACTTGAACTTTATATTCAAATGAGTCGATGCTAAAGCTGCCAAAGGATCACAAGCGAAAGTATGTCGATTCCGTCAAAAAAAGTGAAGTGCTGCAAAAAATGGATAAAGGTATCCTTGTTTCTCTAAACATCGAATTGTTTAGCATTTCACCTCTCTGTGGGGGGGGGGACGTCGCGCGCGCAAGGAATCAAGTTGATCTGTCGCACTATCCTTATTCGGGAGATGTTTTTATTTTATTTCGTAATTCTTACTAAATGTGTTTTCATCTCGATGACTCGTCTTTGATATGATTAAATCAAATTCTTGTATTATAATTCACTTCAATAGTGAAGAAGTGACACAGGTGTTGCAACGAAAAAATTGATGACAAAAATGTGGTATTCTCGAACAGAAATTATCGGACTTGAACAGTGGAACTTTCTAAAACTGCTAAGAAAATATGTCTGTTTATAGAAGAAAAAAAGTATTATCAATAAGCGAACAAACGTAAGCAACGAACATGAAAGAAATGTTTATAAGGTAACAAATAAATTAAAGCTTTGTGGTAAATTTAATACCCAGTTAGATCTAATGTCTTGGATTCAAAAATTAGGATTTCATAGTTTGAATTTATAGCTTTCTGCATCTACTTGCCAGATTTAAACTGATGATCTATAATCCGGAATCGCCAACGAGTCTGGTTTAAAGACTTTTGACTGTATTAATCAAGAGGTTTCATCTTACAGATTTGTTTTATTATTTAGTGTTCATTAACCCTTTCTTTAGATTTGTTTTCTTTCGTGTTCATTAATCCTTTCTTAAAGAAGTTATCTTACAAAAAATCAAAAATGCTTTTTTTTAAAAAGTTATTTTACAAAAAGTCAAAATAATTAAGAAATGCTGAGAGGTGAATCATGAATGAAAGATAAAGAGAAGATTTCATTCTTGAATAGAATAAATTTGAATAAGTAAAGGTAAAGTGGTAGAAAGGATCAACTTTAACACTGAATTAATGCTTTAAGAAAACAATATTTAATGGGAAGAATTGTTGGGAATTAGGAAATATAAAGCAGCTGTTGGCAAAAAATACAAAATGTTCAAATCAAGAGTCTTAAATAAAAATCAAGTTAATTATTTTGATTTTAGTAAACCAAATAACATTTACAAAAATCAAAATAAATTAAGAAAAAATAAAAACAACTCTTTATATAAAATACATTTTATATGGAGACATTTAATATACAAATTGCATTCTGCGTGCATTTCATATATGCATTCACGGGCAAAGGGCCTAGTTCTATAATTATATAAATTTCTATTCTCGAATACACAGCACATAATTTATCTCATATAATATAACTTGAAATGAAAATAATTGTATTATTTCACCTTATGCTTTTATTAAGAGCACTGAGAATTTACTTAACTGAGATATTGTTATAGTTTGAAGTTAATTTCATTTTATACAAAATTTGTTTTTTGTTACATAGTTGACAACTGTGTTAAATTAAAAATTTTTATTCAGTATCTTACAAAATTAGGTACATACATCTTAGAAACTAACATATATGTGACTGTCAGAAATAATCATGTCAACATATATTAACTGTTAATTCTTAAAAGCTAAGGGTAATGAGAATATAGGTATAATGAATGACTTTAGAAGAAACTGCCAATAACTGAATGGTTTTATTGACTTTGTTAATGGGAACACATAATTCTGTATTTTATTTTAGGTCCATTTAATTCATTCTTTAACATCTTCTGTACTGGGATCTTCCAATCTTATTATTTCCCCCTTTTTTTTAACTTTAAGAAATTAATTCTAGTGCTTGGTATGTAATTAGCTGTCACAGTACTGAGAAAAGATATTATCTGCATGATGAACTAAATGAAAGGCAGTTTGTTTTATATTTGCCAGTGTAAAGTATTCTGTTGATTTTCATTTTTTACCTGCAATAATTTCCCCGGAAAGTTCTCAAATTATTCTTATGCAGTTATAATTAAACAGTTGGGGAAAGTTGATTCCCCCCCCCAAACAGAATGTCTAACAAATTGCTTTGTTTTCTTGGTTGTAAATAAATTTAGCAGAACACTAAATTTTCTTTGGCCTGAAATTAAATTCATAAAAATAAATTGAGATAGTGCTCTGTACATCAGTTTATGAAGAGATCTTAACATCACAGGAATATGAAATTTTTGTACTGTATGTTATTTTACTTTTAAAAACATTTTACTAGGTGCAGTTCTTGAAGAATCATAGTTAATCTACATTTTTTTTTAAGATTTTAATTCATACATTTCAAACTGGTAGAAAACATTCTTATGCAAGGATTTAGTTATGAAGCCACTGAAATAAGATTTTAGTGATTTAAGTAAAATTTCAAGAAAAGTTTGTTTAGGAAGCTTGGCATGATTGGACACTAGAATATTTATTCGAAAGAAAAAATTAAATTTTCCCCTGATTTTTGAAATTTAAATTCAGCATATTGATTTTCAGAAGCACATTTTTACAGCTTTTAAATTCCTTATAGAACTCAGTTCTATAAAATAAAGGAAATTGCAGATGAGATAGCAGGAAAAGAAAGAATAATATTTTTCTCTCTTCCCTTTTTTTCTTTTTTACTGTAATTTGAATTCTATTTTCTGCATATTTTTGATATATATATGTTGAATGATAGCAATATTTTAATAGTGTTCTAAAGAGAAAAATAATCACCAGAATTCAATGATTAAAATTCATTTTTCTTAAAAGTTTTAATTTTTAAAGGTATGCATAGTTTTTTTGCATAGCATTTGCAGGGAAGAAATAAAATTTTTAATTTACAAAAGTATTTTTCATGTTTGGTGCTTTAATCCATTTTATTAAAATAATACATTTTTTTTTGCTTTCCAGCATATCAAAGATTAATATAGTAAATATGAAGATATATACTATATATATTTATTTATTTTATTAGTAAGTCTTTTGCAAAACTTGAATTTTATTGCTAGAACAAGATGCAAATCAGAAGTTCTGAAATAGACAACTGATTTTTTATAAAAAGTATTTTTAGAAGCAAGTAAATGGGTTTTGAATGCAGCATAAAAATTTCATTTATGTAAATTTTAAAATCAGACACAAGTTTGCATGCTTTTCATAGGTGTATGTTAATATTAAACTGATGTAGCATTTTAATACCAGTGTGTGTACTTGCTTTATAACAAAATATTTCTTTTGAGGAGATTTAAGTCCTTAGATCTGTAAACTTATATAAATTAGAAATTAAGAAGAAAATCATAAAATTAAAAAAGAATGTAAAATAAGAATTGCAATCAGTATTAATTTTACTAGTATCTGGCAATTCCGGTTTTTTTTTTTTTTAAGATTAAAAACGACCCCCCCTTAAAAAAGCACTGTGGAATCATTTTTGAAATTTGATTGAACATTTATTAGGATATGATTTTTTTTTTTTTTTTTTTTATTGGAAAGTTGAAAACATTTTGTCTCACAGCATTGCCTCCAGTTCGCCAAGAAAATAATTTTTTCCTATTTCGGCATGCAAAAATATCAAGAGTTTTATTTCTAATATCGGTGAAATGTGAAAACGTTTCGTTTTAATATCCACATGAGTATAAGCTCATCAGCGAATTTTAAAGATTTTCTGTTGAAGGCAAACAGCCCTTGTGTGCTTCGGCGTATTATGATAACAGAACCCGTAATACGAATACGTATCGATCAGCCGATACCTATCGTGTGAATATAGGGGAATACTCGGGTTTGATGCTAACTTTACCGCGATTAGTTTAGAATTTACACGCTGTTTCAAATCCAGTTTCATCATTTTTAAAAGGAGTATAAATAACGAATACAAACCAAGTTTCTTGACAATAATAGTTAAGTAGGTAATGTAATTATTTTATGCCGATAAATTAAAATTTATGTTTCTCAAATATTAAAAATTAACCGTCTTAAAATCCGAATGAAATAAAAATCTAATGAAAACTGAGTCATAACCTATTAATGAAGTGAAATTATTCCATTTTACTGCATTTAGGGTAAGCTAGCTATCGCACTACATACAAAAATACTCAAATAACCACTGTCTGCTGGGGGTGAGTCACCGTTTGAATGGATTTTGGCGACGGGCTGGCGACCGTCTGTCTAGAAAGCATATCCCCTGCACTGATGCGCACAGTTACTGGGTGTTGGCTTCACTGCGAAGAAGTTAGGGAGAGGACTTCCCTGCCATACATGTCTTTTTGGTAGTACTTCACTTTAGACAGAAATAAGCATTTTTAAGTTGTAAAACGCCTATTTCCTTCCATTGCGCCAGTTCAGGACTAGAGGAAATATATTATTCCTTAAAAAAAGTTAGGTTTACTTTTACTAACATTTATAATGGTCGGAACAACGTTCGTTGCTGAAACTTTTACAAAGTCTGTCTTGCAGTGCTTCTGCAGAACTTGCCAAGTGCCTAATGTAGGTAAGAAAATATTCTTAAGCTTGTTTTACATAGAAGTCTTTTAGGAAATATTTTTCACGAAAATATTTTCAGTTTGTTAATAGTTACTGTCGTAAATTGTAGGATGAACTTGTTTAAACATGTTAAGACTATTGTTATTTTTTTTTTTTTCCCGCAGCCAGCTTTGACTTTTAGAATAATTAGTTCACCGTTAAACTACTCGGATGTTATAATCACAATAAAGGCTTATCCCAACCCTGCAAATTTCATAGAAAAGCGATTAGAATTTTTTAAAACACTTCCGGGTTTTATCATAGCTGCAGTCACCTAAAAATAATTTTTTTAAATATTTTATTAGAGCCCGCAAATTTATTAACTAGCTGTGTATAAATAAAACTGATCAATTACAAACTTTAAACGTTGTTAAACATAGTACTCTGATCTTATTTAATTGTCCCGTTTAAAGAAATAAACCCAGTCTTACCTTATAACAACAGTCAGGGATAAATCGATATTATTTACCTATGACTACCTGTTAATCTGAAAAGATAAAAAAATGTTATATCTTCCAGTTGCGTTTTTCTTCTATTGTGTATGTCCCAAGTAATCAGTTAGCACAGATGGAATATACTTCCTCTGATTTATTGTTTCCTTTTAATATTGCAATTGAACTTCCGATGATAAAGGGTTCTTCTTGAATTAAATCATTCTATATTTATGGTTGTGTGTATTAAAAGATAAGATTAAGTGTTGAATACCGGAAAGAAGTAGACATGGTATAACACGAGGCTGTAATCAAAATGTATATAAAAAAATGTGATAATGAAATAATTTCCGGTATCTATTATCAGTTTTCTTCCCTTTTTCTCATATTTATCGTCTGCTCATTCAGAGATGTATTTTGTATTTCTAAACAGTGATTGTTTGTTTATAAACAAAAATGACAATACATAATACTGTTTTTCAAAATTTAAGAACATGGCAACAAAGGTGGAAGAGAAAATATTCTAAATAATCGTAAGTTTTCCAAATTTGTTGACGAAGGTTAATTTTCATCCAAACATTTTTTGGCATCTTGTATATTTTCTTACTTCCGAACGTTAGAAGCCCTGCAAACATTTAAAACCTTTTCCTTGATAATGTATCTTTTAGCATTAGTAAGGTAGCAGAGTCTGTCAAGTTTTTTGAATCACGAAAAGTAAAAGTGGGAAAAATCACGAAAAATATGAAATTCCTTCTAATATTACTGTTTTATTTAGAGCAAAATATTCGTGATCAATGTTAAACAAAGGCTTCATTTGATTTTGGTAAGAAACTAAAACGTATTCCATCGAACTGCTATTTTGTTTTGTTATTTATTGCAAAATCGCTGAAGATCACCAAGTCGCCACATAATTTAAATACAGTATATCTATTTAGATTGACAATTTGTCGATAAATATTATCAGAGCTTGACTCCTTTTCTTGTGGCATCAACTACAAGAATAGACTCTTAGTCGATAGATTTTATAAGTTATCAACTTCGCTCGCTCCGTGGACACTGTTTACGAATTTCCAAACTTTAATCAGGATTCGAACCCAGGCCTATCGACATAATAGCTGCCTCAACTAATTATTAACCGATCGGATGGCAAACAAAGTCTATCCTGCAAAAACGCGAATGTCAGTACTTTGTTACAACATAAAGGTGAAATTTTTCTGCTTGGGTTAAATAAGAACTAGAGATGGGGAATTCAGAAGTTATGAAGTAGTTTTATAGAAACTGGTGCTATCTGATGATTTCTAATAAAGATACTATAGCATATCTCAGTAGACCAAATTTTTAAAAACTTTTAAATATAATATCTGTAATGGAAAAATAGTCGGTCATATTGTCGTTCTTCAGAAATTGGTTTTTAAGTTCTATCTAAATCTAAAATTAAAAATATAAATAATAGTTAATTTATGCATTTACAAGTAATCATTTTGAACTCATAAAATATTTGTTCTTGAGATGGCATTTCTGCAGTAATATGGTAACGCATGTCAGTTTTCCGTTTATAAATCGGACGAATTTTTAATAATTAATAACTGAATCTCTAATTCAAAATGTAAAATCTAATTCGTTTGTTTTCTGTTTGGCAGAAAATCTTGGAAAGGAAAAAAAGAAAGGAAAGCAACAACGGAAAAACTATTACAAGAATCACGATAAACAATTTCTGGTGTTCAATGAATCCTTTGGAAACTGAATATTATTTCCGTAATCCTCCAGATATCAATTTATCATTTCCTTTATGGCGTTGCATTTCCGTAGTTTTCCATTACATGTCTTAGAATAATTAACTTAAAGAAACTGCAGTAGTAAGTAAATTAAATTTCATGGTTTTTAAACAACTGTGGCTTTAACTTCCGTTTTATAAATCCGCAAAGTGCATCGTTGGAAAAAGCAGCAATGGAGAATACGAATCAATAGATACGGTTTCGTTTATTGAGTTATATATATCTTTTAAGAAAAAAATCGGCAACAAGGACACTAGTGTGATCTGAAAGTATCGGGGCTGATTCTATAAATATTAAGATTTCAATTTATTGGTCAATATGAGTTACACCTACTTCAAAAGAATCCCCAACACACTTACGAGAATATTCTTTTCAAGTCGCCAGAACATATTTTAAAGTTGTTTTCCTGAAACCCCCTCAGCACTCGCACGTAAATTTCTTTTATTGCATCAGTCGATTAAAAAATGGCAACCACATCGTGAAAGGTTTAGCCATGGAAATAAGAAAAAGGTTACATCTTCGATCAGCTGAATACAGAGTTTGCGGAAGCATATTTTTCTTAAATTTTGACCCCCAGAATCCATTGACGAGCATCGTTAGCAAGTGCGAAATGCAAAAGCCATGAGTTGTCTGCCTGTTTGTAATTCAAGTCGTTTTCCACGGATAACTTCATGCGAAAGCCGCAAGATATTCAAAGAATATTCTTTTTTAATAGTTTAGCTAGCTGATAGAAATTATTATATCACTAAATAAGAAAGAAGTCAATATTATCTTCATTTTCGACTTGCCTTATCAGTCTTGTTTCAACGTTTGAGTGCCATTCACTTAATTGTGCTCTTTCGGGATCAAAAGTATAAATCTCTTTTCATCGGTCTCAAGAAAGAATTGGTCTTGAGAAAGTGTCTCGGAATACACTGCTTTTTAGGAAAAATTCAGTGTTTTTGGAGCAGGTCGAGAATTGACGTTCTTGGAATCCAAACGCAAATTTGCTGAATATGTCCAAATTTGCTTGATGTCTAACTTATTCAATAATACATTTTATTTATAAACAGCGAACCTAACACCATTATCTTTGACTTGATCGACGGATTGTTCATTATTTGGAAATAGGACAGTCTTCCAGAGCGTGATTTATTTTCAACGTACTTTGTATTTTTCTTACAACATCTTGCACCACTCGAAAACTCATATCTTTGATAAAGTGCCTTATAGCCGTTTTTATAGTGGAATTTCCATTCGAAAACAAAGTTATGATTTGCTGAAGTACATTCGCCAAAGGAAAAAGTCTCTTTTATTAAATTTATGTACAGACGTCTAAACATAGATTGTTATCAGATGCCAATGAAAATTGTAACAATTTCTGAAAGAGATTTGTAAATGATTTCCTGCGCATGCGTATTTTAGATGAATCATTCCCGATATTTTGTGATCGAAATAGTATTTCCCATTTCAAATTCATGTTTAGAACAAAGTACGTTGCAGGATGGTAAAAGTTGTAATATGAAGTTTATGATATAAGTTCAAGCGCTCTATTCAGAATTCTCTACTATTAATACTAAAGGATTTATCACTCCCGGTTATGCAGAATTTTTAGCAATAACTCATTTTTTTAGGCTTACGTAAAGGACTGGTAATTCCCTTCAAAACTGTGCTTAAAATTTAAACGTTCGACTAGTAACAAAATTATCTATTTCGGAGGAAGGGAAGAGATGGAATAAGATACAGTTCTTCCACAGCTGTATTTGTTAATAATTTGTCAACTACACTGGAATCGTGTTGTTATTATAAAAGGAGCGCTGAAAGTTGGAAAATAGTTTCTATTTCACAAATAACTACTGGCATCAGTTGAAAGAGAAACAAACATTTATTACGTCATCGAGCTTGGTTTAAAGTAAGATGGTTAGTTTTCCCCCTTCCCTTAACCACAATTTTATTAGATCTGAAATCGTGGCAGAGAAAATGACCGATTTTTGGCGCATGCGCAGATCCTTAAAATTTGCTCTGCGAGAAAATCGGTACGTATAGACGGGCCTTTAGAGTAGTACCAAAAATCTCATGAAGTTTAATGTTTGTACATAAAATATGGAATGTGTCGCATTGTAAAAACATGTTAAAATGTATTTGGTTTATTAATTTACATTAATTTACCACATTAAAAGTTCAAGCGCTTTATTTCAGTGGCTGCAGCAGAATTTCTCGTGAAACAAAAATATGTATAATGTATGCAAAAACTTTTCTTTTTGTGTTATGTTGCAGAGAAAAAAGTGCTCTCGCCTCCACCTCGAACTTCGGCCTGCGTTGTAAGAAGGCCGCCGAAGAAAGTCGCCTTTCTGGGTAAGAAGACAATGCAATAGATGTGGTATCCCTCATTGATTCCGTTGTTTTTGCACTCCCTTTGTCTTGCATGAGTGCTTTTTTTTGCCTTTATGTGGCATGCAACGTAAAGCAACGTTTACTTTTTATTGATTTTTGTTCCTTGCTCCCTCTCATTTTATTTTTTTGTTAGAATTTTTATTTATTTGAGCTATGGGTTTTTTTCGTTAAATTGAATGTTCGACTTTAATGACTACTTTCGTTTATTGAACTCATTTTTTGTTTTTTAGATGTATTTGAATCGTGATGTGTTTTATTTATGAAAGTAATGATTTTTATTTTTTCTTCAACTAAACATTTTATGTAGTTTAAACGTGTAACCAAATATTTCTGAGAAAAAAATATATTTGTTTACGTCTGAAAGCGAATTATGCATTATTCATCTTTTGAATTAAATAATTAAGAACTGAAGCATTCCATAAATTACCAAACAGCTTTGCTGCAGTAATATGTAGTCGGAAGCAGACAGAATTGACCTGTTTTAAGGTGTGATAACGTCGAATAGGTAATTATTTAGATACCGATAGCCGAACCACGGAGGGATGGGGGTAATCTGTTCGTCTGGTGTAATAAAAATCCAGATTTCTGTGTATTCTTAAATCTTTCATATTTTAGGTTTAGTAAAAGTCTACTTGGTAAAAGTTTACAATTGGGTGTCCCTTGTTTATTGGAGATTCTTTTTTGACGCCAAGATCGGCGCCCGGAAGGCACAATTTCAAGATGGCCGCTACACAAAACCAAAATAAGAATTTCAAAAATTGCACAGATTTGGTCCATGACCATCGATCTGTTTTTACTTAAAAACATCCTAAAATTGCCAAACTAGGCATTGGCACTGCTTTAAATTGTTCAGTAAATCAATCATTTCATTTAATAAAATCGGAAGCTAAAACAAAGTAAACTTCGTGGTAACCAGAAGTGAGGTTTCATCGCCAAAATTAAAAAAAAAAAAAAAAAATCGCCAATCGAAGGGGCACCCAATTCTACACTAGAGTCGTCTACTTTACTTAAGCTGAAACTGGTAGTAAAATTTACTAAAATTCTAAAATTTATTAAGATTTTTGTATTGATTTCTAAGCCAATATATTAAAATTTGGAAAACTAAGTTTTTAATAGGAGGTTTACTTCTGATCAGTGTTTTGCTTAGACGTATGTGCAGTAGTATAAACGCATTAGGTATAATGAATTTTTTGTAAGATTGTTCTCCCCCCCCCAAAAAAAAAATTCTAAAGGGATTCAGATATTAACGTCGCAATAGAGATTTTAATTTTTTATACTCTTGTTGAGTTTGCAGTTTATCGCTCTGCTGTTGGACTCGCTTCTGCTGACAAAATATTTTGAATTTTTAACTTTATTATTAAAAAACATTATCTTCTTCGACAAAAAATTCAACTGGAAAAGCACAGAATTTTTGGAAAAAAACAAAAAAAATATCTTTAGAACACCCGATAGTGTTGCCATTAATTTTTTTGCCCAAAATGGCCGTTATTCTCGAACCTCACTTTTGCGTCGAATTGCTTTTGCTGTCCGTTTTACCTTTCGAGCGAAAACGAAGTGCTAGAAATTTTGCTTTTATTTGTTCAATTAGTTGTTAGGAGAAATTTGGCAATGTCTGAATGTTTTGTCTGGACGGTCCATGATGACTCTAGCTAGCTCTTATTTGAACGCTTCCTCACGCATGTCTCTTGGACTCCTGGTTAGAAAAATACTTTACAATACACGCGAAGAATATTTCAGCTCTTGAAAATAACATCCAAGGCCAAATAACTATTTATTGAGAGGAGAAATTTTCAAAAATATTAGAAGGGGGGGGGAACGGGCAAAAAGGGAATATAAACTTGCAGAAGCAAGAAGGGTGTGAATACCTTACGTAATAAGGCTCAAATACTGTGCAAGGAAGGAAATTTAAAAAACTACTTAGCTTTGATTGAGGACTAATTATTTCATGAATTTTGTGGATTAGTTATCAGTCATTGATATAAGAAACAAATTGATGTTTCTTATATTCAAAAAATAATTTACCAAATATTAGAATATCTGAAGTACACTAATATATAGTAAAAGTGGAATAGCATGATAAATTTACAATGCCATGTAGTTCAAATTAGGTATACGTTTAATAATTTTAGCCAGAATCGGAAAGCAAGTTTGGAAATATTCAGAAACGGTCAGAGTTCGGATTGCCGGGAGGTATAGAAACTGCGGATGCATGAAAGAGTAAAAAGGTTGACATCTCCTTATCTGAAATCCACTAGGCAGATAGGTTATTAATTGTCCCTTAATATTATTACCTATTAATAGTCCCTTAATATTATTATAATATTAATTGTCTATGCCTTTCGCGTACATCCGCTTTGATACAGCTGGAACCGATGATGTCCTTTTCCTAATATTCAAAATATCTCACAAACTTGCTCTAAATTGTTTGCACTTTCATAGTTAAACATTGTTTACTTTTTTGTGAAAGCGATTGCGAAATGACATTAGCGAACTTCCGAAAAGTCAGCCATACCTGGATTATTTGGAAAAAATTATGGCCGTCAAAACAGTGTGATTATTGCCATAAAATATTCATGAGCATGCCTTGGTGAAAATAATTAATAATTTCTATGTTGATTTTAATACCTGCTTCGAGGCATTTAACGTTAGGAAATGTCGCGCAATATTTGCTTCTTATGAGTTTAATCTTCGCGAAAAATTTCGGGTATTGTATTTTAGCGAAAATGTCGATTTTGACCACTCTGGATTCCATTTGAACGATGTATTTGTGTTACATCTGTGCGTACGGACAGAATAAAGGACCCTTTTCCTAAAACGGATTGTGAAATGGATTTAAAATGAATTCAACAGAGATGTTCTCGTGACGTATGTACATACGTACGTATCTCGCATAACTCAAAATCGAGTAGCCTCAGAAAGTTGAAATTTTGTAAACATATAGATGTGCACCTCCCCCTTTTTGGTTGCAGTCGGCCGTACCAAAAGTATATAAATATGTATATACTCACTCTGTTACCCGGCTCGGTGAGCTGAGCTTTTCTATTCTTATATGTTGATAAATTGTGCATTTTTTGCTTTAAAAATGATTGAATTATGTTGTTCGTATGTTCCGGTTAAGGTTTTTATGCCTTTACTTGGTCTGCATGCAATAGCTGTAGAATTATTAACAATTTGAAAGTTGTTTAAGATCTTTAAGCCTAACCACGCTGTCATTTCTTTGCATTTGAAACGTAATAGCATAGTGAATTAAGTCAGCTTCTGCACCAACTTCAGTGTCTTTTTACCGAGTGGGACCTAAAGTTTCGTGCACCGGAAAATCTTTCTGCCTAATTTTAATTAATTTAAACTCTGATTATAAAAATTGTTTTTAACGGTTTTAACTCTATTTGGCGTTTTAGATTTTTCTGTATTTTGCAATTTTCAATGAACATGTTTTGAGTTTTTATGTATTTTTTCCTTGCCGCGAAGTGAGAATTGAATTAATTGAATCAGAAATATATCTCTGATAAAGTTCTGGGAGATAAGTTTAAATGAAATTGTAAAGTTTTGTATTTCTTAGGAAGCATACAATATCGACTTTAAAAAGACTCTAGAAGAATTTTCTAATAGTCTTTGGGAAACGAAACAAAAGTCAGAAGAAGGCTGTATAAGACTCTTTCATTTGAACACAAGTAAGAGTAACCCAACTTGGGTTTACACAACCCAACACGTCTGACTTAAATACGTAATGCTGAATTAAATCAAATGTAATAAATTAGCCTAACGACTTGCAGGATAAAGTAATGCGCAGGAAAGGCTCTGGTTTGTAGAAAACCGGGAAGACAAGCCTATTGGCTAGAAGCACTCAGCGTCATAGAATCAAATCGTACATGGTCTGAAATAGGCAGAACACGCTCGAAAATTAACTCGGGAAACTTTCGCTTAAACAGCTTTCTCCCTCAATCTGAATAAACGCTCCCGAACTCATTTACATCCTGGCATAAAAAGCGTGGGCGAAAAGAGAGTGACAGAAAAGTAATTGAACTTAAAATTAGCTATTAGTTATATAGTTACAAATAGATGAATCTCACAAAATGTAGGAAAATAATTACATAATTTAATAGGCCTCACAAAGAAGTTATGCGGTGTCTACATCAGATTTTTTAATTATGATTTGCTATTGCAACCAAGCTATATTTAGTTTACCAGAGAATGCATTATTCCTTCCTCGTTATCGTAAGTTGCCAGCATATTATTCCGATAATGAGTTATGAAGATAAACATGAAATTACATATAAAGTAGTGTCATTATATTCATGAAGAGTTAAACCAGTCACTTGGTTAAATATTCACATCACTTATTAGTCCAAAGGGATTTCAGTCCCGAAGGACTATTGCTTTCGTTTTGGCATTTTGCGTCGGACTCATAAACGTCGGTTCACTTTTCAAACTGTTGCCACAAAATGTTAGAGTCCTGCATTATATTTGAAGAAATTAAATAATGAAAAATCTGCATAAATGATTGTCTATTTCTCGCATTGTGATAAAACAATGGTACATAGAGCCATCGAATTTGAATGACGAAATCCTACTGCGAATATGGGCATCTGAATCCCAAATTTGAATTTGTTTTATTATAGATTTATATTTTGTAAAACTTTAACGAATTTTTGATTACAAACTCAATGCTTTAAAAGCGAGAAATGGCAAACGTTATATAGAAAAAAAATACTTTTATCTCCAGCTCGCGAGACTGTGATATCGGAAATTCTAAGATATGCTTAATTTAAATTTTGCGATATTGCTTTTGAACTGAATTTATGGTTTAAGTGCAAAGAACATGATATTTAATAAAGAAAGGTAACACACAAAATGTTAAAAAACGCCCCTTTGGACGTAATTTAAAATCTGAAACATTTCAGATTTTTTTTTTTTTAATTCATAGTCTTTTCAGGGTAAGGTCTTTTCTCCTAAGAGCTTCCTTACCTAAAAGTAGTCATCGTAAATGATTAGTGAAAAGCTTCTAATGGTAGCTGTAAAGGCGTGAAAATGCTTACTCATCGTATATATTTTACAGAAGAATCATAGTACCTCATATTACATCTTGATGAATAAGATGGCATTGTGAAAACTCGTTTGAGATCAGGAGAGTAAGTTAAACTTTTCAGGTTACTGGCTGATTTTCAATAGCATTTCTGGTATACTTATTTTAAAGGAATTTCAACAAGTGATGGTATATCCCGAGAAACCGATCTGTTCGTGTGCTTGTTTTTTCACTTCCGTTTTGGACACAAGTATGGAATTCTGATAAGAAAAAATGCATTCATAAACAGTGCCCCATCATAAAAAAAGTCGGCAAATTTTTGTGCTGTTTACAACAATGCTCTCTCTTTGTTGGTTACACTTTGTAATTCAAATGTTGCTAAATATTGAATTTTCCGGATTGACATTTATTTCCAATCGTTCCAATATATTTAATTAACCGCTAAATACTTACTTGAACTAAAAATAAACAAATTGCGAAAATTTTACAGGCGGGACAAAATTTGAGAATAAATAATGGCATCCTACTATCTTTCTTTTATTTATTCAACTTTATTTCTTACTAGCAGCTACGCGGCCAGCCTTCGTCTGGCTTTCAAATGTACCGAAAAAATGCCTGAAGGGAAAACCAAACGTTAAATTTAAAAACTGTGCAGAATTTTACTCTGCAGATCAACTTTATCAAAGAAAATAAAAGTCCTACATATAACAAATTGCAATGAAATAAGCAATATCCCTTAATACTAATATTAATTATCCTAATAAATAAATTAACCAATTTCCCGTTGCCTTCTCTCAACAAACGTCAAGTATCCAAGAGAAACATTAAAATTAAAAACTGCACACAGTTATCACCTTCATTTTTCCAAGTGGCAACACTGCTGATTTTCAACAGTCAGCAGTCCAATATACAGTTTACTGAGGACTTTGCACTTTTATTATAAGTGCACAGGATTTTTCCATTTTATGGAATTTAACGAACTTTTACAGGTCCTTAGGAATAAAAGTTAATCAAATCTCTATCTTTAAATATTTGAATAAGATTTATATCACAGTGTTAATAACTAGCCGCCCCATTTGTAGGTTTTCTTGGACGTTACTCACGTTCGTTTTTAAATGGCAATAAAATATGACATATCAATTAAAATCTTAAACTTTTCTTCAGATTCTTGCCATAAGAATTAATATCATTATAATGCTAATTGACTTACGAGAGATGTATTCGCAGACCGCATAAAATTGCTTTGGGGGGGGGGCTGGGGCTGCATGTGGCACGCCAATTTGAGACCGCTGGTTTACAAGAAGAAACGTCTACAGACAAACCTTTAACTTCTACAGATAGGGTTTATAAATTTGTAAAAGCTTTTCGTTTGGACAAATTTTGCGAGGGAAAACATAGTTTATTGAATTTATATTTGTGAACGTGAATTAAAAATTTTCACACTCTATGAGGTCATTTGCATATTAACGAATGTAATTTTCTTGTAATATAGTATTTATAAATTTTTACAGCCCGAGATCCGGAATCGTCGGGTTGTATGTTAATGAATTTAATTTTCTTATAATATAGCATTTATAAATTTTTACAGTCCGAGATCCGGAATCGTTGGTACTTCGATTCCGAAAATTTTCGGATTTTTAGATCATCAGTTTAAATCTTGTAAAATGAGATGAAGAAATGGCAATATTGGAGCTTTACTTATTATTTAGGTCAGATAGAATAACGCTAACCTGGCTAACATCAATATTTAATCAATTCATCGTCATTGGCCACGGCGCGACTCACCAAGTCAGCAAGTGAAAGTTTATTATTGTTATGGTGTGCACTAGTCGTTTTATTATGGGGGCACCTCATTGGTGGCCACCGTTACCTCCTATGAAGGGACAGACAATAATTGGCACCCATGCCTTCTCAGGGATTCGAACCGGGGCTCTTCGGTTCGGCAGTCGAAGTCATTAACTATTTACCCGCTGGGCGGCTGCAAGTGAAAGTGACGTGCTGAGAATCTCATTGGGGGGGGGAGGAAATCGCGTTTATGGCACATCTGTTTTCTTTTGTTGGGTCCGTTTTTATTTTTTATTCCTAGACACCGTAAGCGGTGACGGGAATTTTTTTTGTTTTTTGTTTTGTTATTTAAATTTTATTTATATATTTAAATATTCACTGGATTGGCAGGTTTAAATGCCAACATTTCCAACGAACTGGATATTAAATCATTCTGGATATTGGATGTCCGGCTTTCGGAATTTTTATTGTATTTAAGGTTCTACTGTAAATCATATTCGCAATATGTTACATCTTTGTGTATGCATTAAGGTCTGGCAAATAGATGCCTATTATAGAGTTGCTTTTCTTTTTATTTTAATTTAATATTTATTTTAAAGGAGACTAAATGAATTATATTTAGTTGGATCCAAATTAATATTTTTTTTTGAATACTGTATATATACAACTATTATAGAAATCAAAATTTACAAGTATTACATAAGCTTTCATATCTAATGAATCTTTTGTATCACTTAAATTTATTTATTGAATGCTATAAAAGGAACATTGTAGTATCTTGAATTAGTACTGTTAGCTTTTATAGATTGCTGTCATTTTTGTGACTCGTAGCTAAGTTTATACTTCCTTGTACAAAGGAACTAAAAGCAAACTAAAATTTTTTGCTATCGTAATTTAACAGAAATATTCATTTTGACTGTTCCCAAATCTATTTGGATGATTTTTTTGCATAACATTTGTACATTCAAACAGAATGAAGAACTGCTTTTTCCACAGGTGTTTTTTCACGACGTCTATACATACATATGTATGTACCTCATATACCTCAAAAATTATTATCTGTAGAACATTGAAATATTATATATTGGACTGATATAATCAATCTAGTTGTGCACCTCCCCTTTTTATTGCGATCGGCAGAACAAAATATTAATACATACGTACCCAAATCCTTACCTGGCCTTTATTTTTGCAGTTGCTGATCATAATCATATACTTCTAAATTATCGAAGTGGTTTAAATGACAAAAATATTGATGCTTTGGGCAAAGTCAAATTTAGGAAAGGAATAATAATTTTGGACAAACAGTGAAATCTTACTTTTAGTGCAGTTTCCTGGTTCCTATATTTACATATGAAAAAGTTTTATGCTTGTTCTAAAAAATTAAATTAGAAAAGTTTGACTTCCATGCAACAAAACTTGACAGGAATATTTAATTTCAAAATTTGCAGCTTTTGATGTCATTTTCAACTTGTCTCGAGGGATCTGTTAATTTAGAATAATTTGAGGAAATAAGTTTAAATGAAGTACAGCTAAAAACGTTTATAATTTAAAAGACCGTACAAGAAATCATATGGTGCCCAGATCAGTTTTTCTTTGTTTGTTTGTTTTGTTGTTGTTTTTTGTTCTCACAGTGTGATTTTGTGATGACTTAAATATGTTTATATGCAAGGGTTAAACACTTGTTTGTGAGTTTAATTGAAATTTAAGTTCCTTTTTAATGTTATTAATCAGCATTGCTGGGCATACCTAATTAAAATTGGCTTTGAACATCATTGGCAGTCATGTCTTCAAAGACCACTGACCAAAATCACCTGGAACTGTAAATGGTCATTTTAGAGAGATTTTACTGCAGATTACTGTTTTAATTAGAGACAGTTAGTTTTTTCAATCTAGACCTATTTTTGTAATGTTCTAATTCTGCTTGTTATTTCAGCCACTGAAGTTAGGTGTTCTGAACAGTCAAAAGGTGGCCTTAAGTATGAGCTTGTGCTAGCAGAACCAACCTTGGATTCTCCCAAAGCAGTTTCTCAAACTCCTCCAAAATCAAATATTTCCATTGAAGATATTGAAAAGAAACTCAGAGCTGCTGAAGAAAGGAGACAGGTAAAAAATTAAATAATTTTTTGAAGAACACAAAATATTGTTCCATCAGCATGCATTTAAAAATGCTTTTACTTCTGTTTTCAGTCCATCGAGCTGCAAAAAATCAATCTGGTCACTGAGAAGTTAAATCATTTAGAAACTGTTAAGGTAAAGAAGGAAGAAGTAAATCATAATTTCATGCAATCAGCCAAAGAGAATCTAGAACAGAAGTTAGAATGTATGAAAGAAAATAGGGAAACACACATAAAAAATATCCAAGAAAAAGCCAGGGAAATAGTAAGTGTTAAAGTGAAGTGTTATGACAATAGTTTTCATTATTGTCATAGTCTGTATTATGAATTTATATTGTTTTAAATTTAAGTTAATATTCTAGAAATGTTGTCCTAAAATTTTAGTTTGTTTCATATCAAATATTATATAGTTGTTTTAATGAATTTTCTTTTAAAAGTCTAGATTTAACACATTTATATCAAACCCCAAAACAAAATGCAAAGCAAGCAAAGTGAAATTAAATTTGACTTGTTGGAAAATTCTTTATTTTGAAAACTATTACAGATCTTTAAAGAATATTTTGCATTTGGCAAGATGAGAAAGACTTATTAGTGACATAAAAGGTCAAATAACTTATCAGTGATATGCTATTTGACATCCTTTTTATGTCTTATTTTCCCCCCTAAGTAAATAACAATTAAAAATTCCTTCTTAAAAGGAAACAATTAAAAGTAGTCCTGCATTGTTTCCATTTAGTCTAGTTCCAAGTCAGTTTATATCTCAAATGTGACCGAATATGTTCAATACATTCTTTTTTAAAGTACTTATGGTGTTACATAAATTAAATACCTTGCCTTTATTTTGTTATTTTATTAATTAATTTTTAAATGACAGGTTCAAAAAGTTGATGAAAAACGTAAAGCTGGTGATTCGCCAGACAGAGAAGAAAAACTTGAGGCTATCAATAAAAAGTTAGTTGTTGCCCAAGAGCAACGTGAAGCTTTGCTTGCTTCCCTTCAGGAGCGACTGAAAGAGCATGTGAGTATTTTAAAATTATTTAATTTCTTCTTTACACTGTCAGAAGACACAATATTATAGGTTTTCCAGAATGATCTGTTGAACTTTCCAGTAAAAAATAGTTCTTATTTTAATGAATGAGATTTTTTAATATTAGGTGTTAGTAACAAACTTATCTATAATGACTAATTTGTGCGGAGTGCAGTTAAATATGAATTATTACACCAAACTAATTTATATGAAATTATTTATATGATATGAAGATAAATTTGTTTTAAAATTTCAGTACGTAGAAATCAGTAGATGTTAATTTGAATACATTTAGATGCTTGTTTTATTTTACTTATACTTATTGGCTTTATTTTAGTATTTATAAATTTTTAAAGTCACTATAAATTTTATCTTGAAATTTGTTTTGCATTCTGATAATTAAATTTTTATGCTGTTTTAATACATTCAAAATTACTTTTTATGATTAAAGTATAAAAATCTTAAAATTATTAAATTTTCAAGGCAATTTAGAATTTCTGCGGAGGGTATTAACACTTTTTTTAGAGAAAAAATGTAGAAATGTGACAGGATAAAATTTTCTGGCAATAACTTATAATATGAAATGAGAAATATTGTCTGCGACTCTGAAATGTATTCTTTTCAAACTTCTAATGTAAGCAACATGTGAATTCAAGGATATGTTTTTGCTCTTTCTGAAAAGAAATGTTCTAATTCGGCAATTGAAAAGCAGTGTGAAATCAGAGTATCAAAATTTCTAAGTGTGTATATTTGCAAGAGGGAATTATTCATGGAAAATAATTAAAAAATAGTCATGCAGGCATCAAAAGAAGATTCACAGAAATATTCAAAAAATGTGTTTAATGTTCTAAATATATCTGCCAACAATGAACAAGGATTACAGCTTAAAAAATGCCAATGAAAATAATGTTCACCAGCTTGTTGCCAAAGCAACTTGTTGAATACAGGAAACGTAGTCCTATATAAACACCATTTAACAACATATGAATAGAAATGCATTGCGATCTTTATTTTTTAATCATGCATGAGGAGATAAAAGTTTGGTTTGAATAGTTTGAGCAAGACGTCTGATTATTGCATTTTCCCTCTATTATAGGAAATTAATAGAAATAAGAAAACTGTTGGCAAAAGTGCTCAAATCAACTCATCAGATTCTAAGAAAATGTTTTATCCAATATTTACAAAAGAAATTGCTTTTTTTTTTTTTTCTTCCGATTGTTAAAAATTGTATCGTAGCACAATTTTTGGTTCAAGTTGGAGCATTGTTTCAAAAATAAAATTGTTTTTTTTTTTCATGCATTTTCAACCTATATACCATATTTTCATATGATTATGGAAATAGTGTAATCATATCAAATTTCTGGATATATATATACTTTCTAACAATGATATTAATCAGTATAAATCGGATATGATTAAAAAAGACATTTTTAATGATACTTTCTTTGCAGAATATTTGTTTAGTACAAAATTTAAATCTTTTCATTGAATTTACCAGCAATATGCTGATAACAAATTTTAATGACTTCATTTAATTTAGACACTTCTAAATAATTCTATTTGTTTAAATATGTTTTAAGTGAATTTGCTTATTCTTTAAGTTATATATATTTACATAAAGAGAAAACTGATTTTTTTAGTAGGAAATAATGAACGTTATCTATGTCGTATGCTTGAAAGCACCACATCTTTCATAATTTCATTAAGTTTTCTAAAATTTTACTCTGTCAGTTTTTTTTATTGTACCGTACTGTACTATATAACTCTTCTGTCAAGGATCTAAGGCTATGGTATGTAGATTGTATCCAATTTCATATGCATGTGCACCTTCAGCAATGTACTCTTTAGGATCTTGAAGTTTAAAAGAATGCATCAGTGTAAATTTCATTAAAATATATCTATTAATTTTTGCTTTAATCTGCACATACATACATATACCTCATTTATAGTTTGTTTCGCAGTAGTATGTTATATTTTAGGTATGATTGATGCTTAGGGTATATTGATTAAATCAGAATGCAAACATTTCAGGATAAACATATTCTGGAAGTAAAGAAACAAATGGAAGAACAAACAGAAAACCTTAGAGAAAAAAGCATTAAGAAGTTAGAAATTGCTCAGGCAAAGCGTGAAGCTCTTATGAAGGAAATCCAAGAGAAAATCAAGGAACATGTAAGAATTTTTTAAAATTTAGTTTTAATAATTAATTTGTGGTTACTGTTTATTAATAAATGTGTTTCTTCTAATTTTTACAACACTTTCCTGCTCATATGTTTGTTTTTGAATTTTTTTATTTGTTCCAAATTTAATTTAATTTTATATTAATTGTGAAATCTTAAGAAAAGATTTGACAAAGCTACTTAAAATTCGAACCTTTTAAAAATAGGACTTCAAAAGTGAAGTGTTAGAAAATCCATAAAAAATAAAGCATTGAATAAAGTTGTGTTCTATTAAAATTTTTTCCTATTTTGGTACAACAGAATAAAAAATTTTTAAACCATTTTTTTAAATGTAAAAACTGTATTATACTTTGAAATAGTTTTTGGTTGTTGATGCTACAATTGATACTTTGTGTTGGTAAATTTGCCTGCTTCAGTAATATTGTTGTTGCTTACCCAAAGTAAACTATAGTGACTGATTTGTACCATTTATCTTTGGAGTAAATTTCTTCATGTTGTGAGTGTGGGCTTTTGTAAAATCTGTAAAAACCTGAATATAGCTGCCAACTCTTCTAGTTTTTCATCACATCTCCCAGTAGATCATAAAATTCCCCGTTTTTAATCTTTAACCTTTACTTAAGAGATTTTTTACCTCGGCAATAGACAAAACTTAAATTAGACTAAACTTAAATTGCACAAATTTCATTCTACCATTCCTGTTTATCCACTCAATATTATGTAAATTAATTATTAATTTTATTTTCATGTTTAAAGCACTTTGAAAAATTAAAGCTGTCTGTGCCTACTCAGCATTTCCTCAGATTAAGTCTGACAATAAAAAATGAAATAAACCAAAGAACATAAAATGTAAATATTAATATATATTTTACATGAGAGTCGTATTATAAATAGTTGAATAACCTGAATCATGAATTATAAAGCTAATTTTAGTCAGTTTGGGGTTATTTGAAAATGGTTCTGTCCTTCAGCACAAAACCTCCTGCTAAACCCCAGTTTTTCTTGCAAGAACTTAACTGTTTTCTCATGTTTCAAAGTTGGCAACTACGCATAGGGAATTTTTCAAAATTTCACACTTTATGCTGAAGTGTTGAATTTCTGTGTCAATTTATTTTCTGTATTGGTCTAAGGATTTAGATTGACAGATTGCAACAATTGAAAAAAGAGCACATTTATTTAAAATAAAAAAATGTGGACTGTGTGTTTAATTTTAGATTGTTTTTAGTTTCCCTCATCGTTTCTGAACATGAAATTAGATAATATGTTAAAGACTGATATATAGAGTAGTTGATGTATTTCAACAGCAGCATGAAGCAAGTTAATTCACGTAAAACCGGTTGAAGCTTTCCCAATAAATGTCTAGAATTTTCTTATCTAGTATATAGGGCATTTTGAATATTTTTGAGCAACTTATGTATTAAAATCTGTTCTTATTAAAAAAATTCTAAATTTTGAAAATTTATAAAAATAGATAATCTTGCAGTAAATCAAGCCTATACATTTTTGTAATGCTTATTTTTATAACATTATGCAACTTTTATAAAGCTCATAATTATGCCATTTGTTTTGCTTACTTTAATAACTAATCTATTCAAGTGAGATTTTTCAGTATATGTTTAGATTATAATTTTACAATATACTAAATTAATAATATAATGTTACTTAAGGAATTCTAGATTGTTGATGAACTAATTTGTCAAGTTTCCTAAATAGCTTGAAAATGGTTTCTTTAAGCTTTAAAACTGCATTTACCACATTCTTTTAATTTGTTTTTGTTACATAAGTTTTACCCTTCTATGTTCTTTGTTGCATTTTCTGTAGAAAGCACATATTCTAAGAGTTCGACAAATGAATGAGCTTAATCAGCAAGAAGGTGGAGACAAATTGCAGCAGATCCATAAAAAGTTGTGCACTGCCGAACTAAAACGATCTGAGCAAATTCAAGCAATGTTGGAAAAACTTCAAGAGCATGTAAGAATTTATGAAGGACAACCCTTGAAATTTAAGCTGTTTTATCAGTTTGCCGGGAGTAGACTAGCCTGCTTTACCAGTTTTCTGGAAATTGGTTAATTGCTTAACCATTGGGCTGGGAACCAATTAGCTGCTTTATCAGTTTTTAGGATTTAGATTAGATTAATTCTTTTGTATTTTGTCTGTCTGCTTTACTAACATAAATACTACAATGCAGGTAGTAAACAATACTAGAGCCCTTTTCTGGCATCATCTCTAACACCTCAAAGTTTCACGCTTGAAATACTTGCTTTCAAAATTCTTCAGCTGGCTTTTATAAATAATGCTTTATTTATATAATACAGATTAAAATTTGCTTTCTGCTGTACTTGGTTTGTGATTAAAGTGGAAGAACCGTTTTTATATTAAATCCTTACGATTTTCAATTTAAATACTGATAATGTTTGTTTTATGTCATAATTATGATATTTCACTTTTTCTACTTTTATAAAGGAATTCAGAATTGATGTTTACTTTTGTAGGCATTATAAACTGATGAACGATGCATTTATGTATGCATTTTGTTTATGGATAATGCTTTAATATTCAGTTCAGCTGAGAAGATTACAAATAAGACTAAGTTTAAGTAGAAGCAGTAATAATATAATGCTTGTAAAATCTACAATAAAAGGCTATTCTGGTGTCTAAAAATTGAGCAAATTCGTAAAACATCTGAAGAAATGTTTCATGCAGGTAAAATATAATTTGTTTGCTGATTATCTGTTAATGTAAATCAATCTGTGTGAACATTTCAGTGAAGTGTCATTTTTAAAAAGTAAGCTTCATTCAGTGAAAAATAATGATATCCAGCATTCTGCCGAACTTTGTGTATGATGGGAGCATAGGAAATGAACACAAGCATGGATGTTCTCCCATGTAACATAAACACATAACTTTTGGTGTTATATCCTGAAACATTTCAATGTATTGGAGAAACAATAACAGTATTATAAATACAAATGACTATAGTATATATGCCTCATGCTCTGCCATAAATGTATTGGATTGGAGAATGTATCTTCTGCTTTTATAAGTGATATGTCATTATTAAGCAGAAATCAATAATTATCCAATTGAAATTGATATGACCAAAGAAGTTGATGATGACCTGTCTGTCTTACTTTTTTTTCCGAATGTTAGAATCAGAGAGTCAGACAAAAGTTAATTTTGAACACAGGCTTCGTACAGTTCTTAGGAGTCCTTAGATTTTTTAAAATCGATTTTTGGTCTTAAAAGTCCTTAATTTTGGCCAAAATCTTCAAAAGGTCCTTAATTTTAACATCTGAAATTTGTCTGTTTTTATGACTGCCATTTTGAGCGTGAATTAGCATTTTGGAGGAATCTTTTTGTTGATTCGCTAATGTATATGGTTATCTTTTGAATGAGTGAATGGGTTATAATTTGTTCTTATTTCTAATACAAATGGTGGGATACTCGAGTTTCTAAGCAAGAAGTGAAACATAAGCCTTTTGAAATTATTTCATTTTTTCCCAAATGAAGAGCTCTTAAACAACTTTTCGCCTTTGGTGATGTGAATTCTTTTATCTAATGACTCTAAATTTGGCGATTTTAAGATAAGTTTTTATAGAACATTTTTAATTCCGAGATCTGGGAATTTTTCGACGATTTTTTTTTTAAAAACATTGTAACATTTCATTAAAATCATGGTAATATATTGAAATTATATTTAAAAAATAACATTAAAATAAAACATTTTTATTTTTTTCTGTCATATTATAAAATTTGATTTTGGCAACTACTTATACAATATTTTGAATTTGAAAAATAAACAAGGTATAATGCTATAAAACACAATTTACGAAACAGTTCTTATCCAAAGCAAAATTCTGATCAGTACTGGCGTTTTTACCATGCCTGTCCTTCATGTATCCCACCTTTTGATTTTCGCATTCACTCACTGATTGAAAAATTCAACCTAAATGATCTGCATACCAAAAGCTTTGACCTTTTTGGTATTGCTCCCCGGCAAGAAGTGAACATTCACCTACTTAACATTTTTGGAGAACTAAAGAACAGTACCAATGATATCCATTACCAACAAATTTTCCTAGAGCATAAAAGCAGTTATTCTAACTACAAAGCAATTTTTACTGATGGCTCAAAGAATCATGACCACATCGGGGCAGCTTTTGTTTGTGATAAAGAAATAAATAGTAAACTTCATAAGGCTGCATCTGTCTTTACTGTGGAAACTTTTGCCATTTTGAATGCCTTAATATTTATTTCTAGGCAGAATAGCAGAAAATTTATCATCTACTCTGACTCTCTGAGTGCTCTTGAATCAATAAATACAATTACCAGCCACCCTTTAGTCTTACAAATTTTAAAGGCACACCTCTGTTTGATAAACGCAGGTTATTATATCACGTACTGCTGGGTGCCTGGAAACGCTGGCATCAAAGGCAATGAACTTGCCGATGTTGCAGCAAAATCTGCTGATATTACCTCAGAAAACGATGTCCCTTTTATAGACATATGGAATTACATTAGAACAAAGGTCTTGTTCAGGTGGCAAGAATTCTGGGAATACCAAACTCTGAACAAATTAAGGCAGGTAAAACCCAATTTGGAGTACTGGGAGTCGAGAGGGAATCGGAAGGAGGATGTCCTACTGACTCGCTTACGAATTGGTCATTGCAGACTGACACATCAGTACCTCTTGAAAGGAGATAATGAGCCTATTTGTGGCACTTGCAACGTTCCCGTTTCAGTCAATCATATTTTAACCTGCTGTCCTGCTTTTAGTCAGAAACGTGAATTTTATTTTAACTCTACGAATGTTAACTTAACAGATCTCATTAGAAGAAACCCTCACATCAACCTCATAAGTTTTTTAAAAGACATCTCCTTTTACCATATGATTTGAACTACATTTTATCCTGCTCTACCTGTTGCTAGAGCATTTTTCAGTCATTTCTGCCTGGACATTTTAAGGTCATTTCTCCATGCCTTCATCAGCATTTCACGTTCATTTCATCAATTCACTTGATACTTGTTTATGCATCTTGAATTTTACTCACCATTTGCCTGGCACATAATAACCCTCGAGGTTTTGTGCCATTTAAAAAACCAATCAACCAAAAGAAAAATTAGCTATGTAATTAAATTAAAGTCTTCTTTTTAATTTTTCATAGTAAGAGTTTTTCCCATGTAATTGTCTCGGAATATTCAGAATTCTCAGAATATGTATCAGTTTTCTCTACAAAATTAATTTTACACTTTCCTTCCCCCCCCTTTTTCAAAATATTTCAGGCATTTTTCTATTATAGAATTGGTAGGGATAATTTTTCTTTAGGATTTTAGACACTGCAGATTAGAAAGTTTTAGAAGGGTTTGAAGACTACATTACACCGACGATTCTAAAAGATTCCAGAAATATGTGACAAAGTGAAAAATGTCTCCATCATATTAACACATAATGGATGTATTTTACAGAAAGTTTGCAATGAATTTCTTACTTTTTGGAGAACTTCTGGAAGAACAATGAAAACATATTATTTGAATGCTTTATTATGGATACTAGAATTTTTTTCTTTATATGTTTATATTCCCTTTATTTTCTCTCCTTTTCACTATACACAAGCATGGAAAATATCAAAAATGCTCCTAATCTTACTTATCACATGGACAGGCATTATACAAAGGAATTTTTTATTAGAAAGAAATTGAAAACTGACAATTTAAAAGATTAATCTAATATGCCTTAATGCATCATGCATAGTGCTGGTGCTAGGCATTTTCCCACCTGATGTAATCTCTGTGAATCCTAAATTCTGCTGCCTAGTGCCTTTCTAAATTCTGCTTCCAGTGCCTGCTCTAAATTCTAAAAAATTCTGCTGCACTAACTCTATAATCAGCCCTTACCACATATATTTTATACTTCTTCTGAATGCTCTTATAACTAAAGAAATAAAATTAGCTTTTTCTGCACATTCTAAATGCATTTAGTTTTAATAGAATATCAGAAATCCCTAATTAAATCCAAGAATTCTAAAATGAAAAGGAAATGTGTTGAAGAAAGAAACTGAATACATAAAGAAAATTATCCTTCAGAGATATTTTTAGTTATTATGTAAATTACCCAGTTGTTTATGATTTCAGCCTTTACTATAATTTCCCATATCTATTTCCTCATATGATAGAGCTACTGAACCAGCTTAAATTAAAATTAAATTGTGTAATCTTTGACCACTAGTCTACATTTTTAGTTTGAATTTGACTTTTCTTGTTTAATTACATCACCAGGAGCTGCAATTGATTTTGCTAGCATCAGAACATGCTTTTATGTTTGTTTTAAATAAGAGGCTTATTTAAACCTCTGTCTGACATAATAGTTACTTTTAAACATAGCTACAATTTGCTTCACGTCTGTTGGGAGGTTTTGGCCTATTTAACTTTTACCAGATCAAGTAAACCCTCATAGCTACATAGTGAAGAGGTTGACAAGTTAAGAGATAGAGCACACAGAAAATAGTGAGAACATTGGTTTGCATATTGAGAGAAATTTCTAATTGTTAGAAAAGATCCTTAAAGAAAAGGAAATCAATATAAATTAGCCGAAATCTCTGGGAAGGCTTCAAATTAAAAGGATGCATAAATATTTTGTTGAGTGTTGTTACAAAACATTAATGTTTTGTAGCTTTTAATGTGTAATTATCCTAATATCTTTTAAGGATCAATAACATAAATTACTGGTATTTTAAACTGTGAAATTTTATTAGATTGTGATTTTAATAAGGCTTTTTGTATAACACATTGTTAAAAATAAATGAAATTTAATAGTGGCAATGTAAATCCATAATGACTAAGGTATCTAACTGCCTAAATTATTTATAACTGATTACCCTTAAAAATTATTATTGGAACCTTAAAGTATATTAACTGGGTTACAATACCTGGGAATCTACACAAATTTTTGGCACTAACTGTGTCAAATAGAGCCCACCTAACTTTCAGAACTTGCCAACCATGCCTACATCAGGCCTTTCAGGTTTGTTCGAATCGGCAGGTCTCTTTCTAGGTAAGCAGCAGCGGTGACAGCATTCAGTCTTTTGTTATGAAACATGCTATTTAAATATACTACTCATTATATTCTATGCCAGACATAAGATCTACCTGCTATTTACTTAACCTCTAGATTCAGCAAGTGTGAAACAAAACTGGGGGGGGGGTGAGATAAAGCTAACTATTGGTAAAACATACGCTTATTTTCTTTCAAATATGTCCAAATATTATAAGCGTAAAATATTTAATGCTACTTGCTACATTTTATAAAGTTTGATTTTATTCTCAGACTTACTAATAATTTTGTTAATTAATTCATATTTAAAAGTAATTCATCCTACTTACGGATCTATTTTATTTTTAGGATAGTGTTACAAAAATGAAGTTCAGGCATAGATAATATTTTTAATCGAATTTCTTCAGTTCCCATTTGCTCATAAGCCCTTAATTTTTTTTCATTAATGTTCCTTAAAAGTACTTGCTTTCCATATGCAGAAATGTGTACGAACCCTGTGAACATTAAATATGACAAAATTATCATCTACAGAAAATCTTTGAAACATTCGAGAACAGGGTTTGTACGGTCCTTAAGAGTCCTTAAAAGGATGTAAGGAAGTAATAATTTTCAAATAGAGATGATAATTCATACAATGTGTTTTTGTTTAAAACAAAAAACATGACAAGAAACATTATCTTCAGAAACATCTCGGGAAAAATTTTCGAGTGACCAAATTATTATGCAATTTATTAATGCTTTTTAAATACATTATTTTATTGTGAAGAATTTTTGGATGGTATTTATTTTGTAACAAACAAGTCTTAAAGACAAAATATATATGAGGAAAAAATTGCAGCCCTTGTTTTAGTATTTAGTACAAGATCTATGAAAATAAATTTAAAAACTACAAGTATCCAAAAACATGTGAGCCGCTGGAAATGAGTATTTAAGAAATTCATTTATTTATTTTTTAACACACGGTAATTAATTATAATTGCACTACTTACCTAAATCAGAAATTCTGTTCATTTTAAGATCTCAGGCTGTAAAAAAGGTGACAGTGCATATAAATATGGTATAGTAGTCAAATTTAAGTGTCTTATATCTGAATTCTTTTTGAAAAATGTAAATTTGCGCTATAGTTTAACATTGTATCAACCCAAATATTATTTTTTTATATAATTAAAAATTTCTTGCAACAAAACATAACTACCACTTTTTCTCACTATTTAATTTGCATAGCTGCTGGTCTCTTTCTGTTGCTTTGCTTTCATTTGCCACAGCTTAGACTTGATCATCCTTTTTGTTAAAAGAAAAAAAAAAAAAATTCACTGTAATTTATGCAATGCTGTGATATTATGTATAGTTTAATTTATTTGGATACCAGATGAATGTTCTGGAAATTTTCACTATATCATGGTACAAAGTAGTTTAGTACTTTTTCATAAATTATTTATTCACTGCATAACAGATCAACATATTTTTATTTAAGAAAGTACTTTAGTGCAGGCCAAAAATTAAAAATTAAAATAAAAAATCTGACCATTACATTTATTTATCCAGTTTTTCTTTTTATCAATAAAACCTGTATGGCATGACATTGTACAGACGCTATTAATGTCTCTAGATCGGAAAGAAAAAGTTTAAAAATCACATCATTGGATTTATCGTTTTATTTTTTCAGTGCACATGATGCTAATTTATCAAGAAATCTATATTTCATAACATTGGATAGACACTATTAGTCTCTGTGATGAGTTACATATAACTATGTAACTGGCCTATTCTTCAGGAAGAAAACATTTTAATCTGACCAGTTAGTTGGATGTACTTTTAATTATATTCTTTGAACCACTTTAAACCAATGTAACCAAATGTGATATTTCCAGTTTTGTGGAACACAAGGTCATTATTTAGTAAATCTAAAATAAATATATGTCGGATGGAATGAAAAAAAAGTCATTGACTAGCTATACTAATCCGTAATTATGTACACAACAATATATAAATTATGTATGCAACAATATAAAAATGAGAAAAACTGCAAGAAGCATATGATCTGACAGTAATGTGTGCATATAGACATGTGAGAAGGTAATGAAAGTGTCTTCATCAAGATGTTAACTAATTAAAAGAAAATTTGGAAGGATAGCTGTCATCCATGCAAGTAAAGAAGGGTTAATCTTGATGTTATCTTGATGTTTCATGTAGTCAATGCAACAATCTATTAAATAACCTTCCTGTTAAAACTCAGCTTGTATGTTTTGAAGGAAAAGTTCAGAGCTATTTGTTTTGATTATTTTTTTACATATGAATCTAGAAATAGTTGCATTTTTTTTCTTTTTATTTTCTGAATACCTCCCACCCCCCCAAAAAAGATAGGGAGGAGGGATGAAATTTGTTTGTGTGTTGTCCTTTGATATTCCTAAACAGAAATTAAAACATTCACACCCCCCTAATTAAATAAATAATTTAATTTTAATCTTTTTTTTTTTTTTTTTTTCAGTAAACCCATTATGCTTAACCAATGAAAATATCTTTTCTTATGAAATGTGCATTCTTACTTATGTATTCTGTAGTTGATAGCTTGATGAATGAAATATCTAAAATCCTGTTACCTGATTAATTTTGATTATAGGAACGACATGTGGTACAAGTGCGTCAGAAAGCATTATCAGTGAGCAATGATGAAAATTGCAAAGAAAATATCGAAGCTTTTTCTGGATAAACAATTCTGTTGTGCTCCAACTTCATAATTGCAGTTTGAACTCTTATTTCAATTTTGATTTATTTTTGTGTTTGGAACTTACATAATATGTCTTGTACTTTCTTGTTAGTATGTTATTTTTGATACTTGGAAAGATCGTTCTAATTTTTTAAAGATTTACACTTTCTGATTTATGTAATAAATGTCTGCATTGCAATGCAGTAAATGACCTCTGGTCTTCTGAGAGGCATATGTTAGTGTAACCAAAAATATGCATCAAGTATCTATAAAAAGTAAAGAACCAATATGGCAACAAGTGCTTATGTAGTAATAAGATTTTAGGTCTTCTTTTTATATGTTCTAATACATTTTAATCAGTCTGTTCTATAACTAATAGAATTATTATCACTGATTAAAATATGCTACTTAATTATGCGAAAACTTAAATTATGCTCTTTATTATGATAAATTACTGAAGATTTGTATTGCTAAATAGCATTCATTCTTAAGGTAATTTGGGAAGAAAAGAAAAAAAAAAATTGTCTATTGGAGCAGTGTTGCTTGCCCTGTTGAAAAACACTTATTTTTACAAAGGCCAGGTGCCATATTTTGGTCTGTTTGTAATTTCTATACTTTTTAACTAGTGTGTAAGATGTGCTTCTTAATGTCAAGTTCAATAATTAATGGACCAATTTAAATGATTTTGTAAGTGTAATTTAAAAATGCTTTGCCTTACTGTGTGGTTTTTCATACTGTGATTTAAAATTTTAGACTGGTGCTGTCTAACATGTTACTACATTTAAGTTCGAAATAGTTTAACTTTTATAAGACTTTATTTTAAAAATGCTGTTTTTATAATCAATTTTTACCAGTTTGTGGCTTTCAAAAATAATTTCTTGTATAATATTGATATTATTACTGGCTGTTTTGTTTAAATTTCTATCAAAGCAAGATAACTTCTATTTCAGAGCAGGATTATTCAATTTAGTGCTTGCCTGTGCTTAATATTACCTATGTAGTAACATAAATGCTCATTAAATATGTCTGATAAATGTCTGGCTGGTTTTATTGTCCATTTAGTTGTCTTTCTTAGCTAGTATTTTCAGTTTTTTTTAAAGTCGGAAAAGCGTTAAAGTTCGTTTTACTATATTTAGTTTTATTGAAGTTTTTGCATTTCAGTTCTATGTAAGTTATTTCACACTCGTATATAAAACTATAAGAAACTTATTTTTATTTGGCACTAAATTTAGAAAAAAGTTTATCTCTTTCTTCCCATGGGGGGGGGGAATGCACAAAACATTTTTTTTTTTGAAATTTTAATCATTTTTTAAAGATGGCTTACTTTTTAAGTGTTTATTCTGTACCTACTTAAGAAATAATATAGACAAAGTTGTGGTATCTTATGTTAATTTTGTAACCATATGATAAAAGTCCAACATGTGAATTATAAATATAAGAATCTAATTTTCAGTTACTCCCTTTTCAAGTATAAGGTATTTTTCCTGCCTTTTTAACATGCTTTCGTGGTGTAATGGTCGGCATGCTCAGTGCGTATTTGAGAGGTCCGAGGTTCAAATACCAGCGAGGTCATTGCTCATTTTTCATCTGTCCTGCTTTGAAATAACCTAATGCCTCTACACAAGTAAAATATTAGAGAAAATAGTAAATTTTTCATTTGTAATATTAATGTAATTTAAATCTCGATTAGTGCGGGAATTGTATAAAAATCGATTGTAATACAGAATGCATTTTTGAAGCACCTGGAAAGATGAAAATATCACTTGTCAACTAATAACATATGAAAATTTAACAGTTCTGATAATATAAAAGTGCATTTAAATGTATCTGGTTGTAGCAATAGTTTTCCACCAAAAAACGTTCTTAATAAAGTTAGGGGGGGGAAACATGAAAATTTAGTGCAGGTAGTAATCACAAACCAAATCTGATTTTTCTGCTAATGTTTTGGTAGTTTTTCAAAGCCTTCAACCCAGAAACTTGGTCACCATGAGTTCAAAAACAGATCAACCTCATTTTGGACGTGCTGTGCAGAATCGGAAATAGCACCAGCAAGATGTAGCTGCAGGCGTGAAAAAAGTTAGAAGTCTGAATAAGCATGTTGGGTCTATATGGTGGGTGTTGCAAAAGATTCCATTCGAGTTCGTACAGGTCTAGCTGGTGAATGCAGACACATGTGGTATTGCATTATATTAATGGAACATTACATTTTTGTGCCAGAACTCAGTTCAACATTTTTCTTTGATAGCAGAGGGAACATAGACTAGCCTGTCACTACACACCTTACTGTTGAGGGTTTTATCTTTTTCCCAGATACTCTTTATGTATAATACCACCACAATCCCACTAGATGCAAAGCATGATATTTTTGTTCATCAAATTGTGCTTTGCAATGTTGCTGATGGGCTCACTAGGCACAGACCAACCTCATTTTCAGCCTGTGTTGCTAAAGTAAATCCACTTTTTGTCGCAAGTGATGGTCCAGTCCAGAATTTTATCCTTGCGTTGACAGAGCAGATTAGTGCAGGCATGAATACTTCTGTTCTTGTCAGCTTATGGGGCACCCAGCAATTGAACTTTTGCATCAAGTTTATGCGATGCATATTGCAACTAATGGACGTGGCACTAACGTCTAACTCCCTAGCAAGCTGTCAAGTGGCTGCATTCTGACCTTTTTCCATTAATTCATTTTGGTGGGCCTTAACATCAATAGGCCGGCCAGAGTGCTCTGCTTCTTGAATGTCATAGTCCTTATTTTTGAGCTTTCGGTACTAAATCTTCACAGTGCCATATGATACAACATTAGCATCTAAAGCTATACACATGGTTTGGTGACATTCTGTAGCTGACATTTTGCAACGCGAACTGGAAGTAGATGATGGTTCTAATCTTTTAGCGTGATAATTCCATTTCAGACATCTTGCACTTAATGACAGCGATATTTTTTAAAAATTTCACAGCACAGTGTTCTAAAGTCTCTTTCTTTCAAATGCCAAAAATCGGTTGTCAAAATATGATTAAGTACAGCAACATGAACTGTCTGCTAAGATGATATTTGCAGTGGTAGGAAACTTTTCTTAAAACTCAATACAGTCAAAAGTCTTTAATCCGGACGTTCATAGTCTGGAATGATCTATAATCTGGACCTCAAAGCTACAAACTTTCTGTGCATGCGCATAATATCTTTACGCGTGCGCATTTAATGTATAACGGACAATATAATCTAAGCTAAAATTATCTATTTCAGTTAATGTTGCAGATTGCATTGTTCCTTAATCTTCAAATTGGATCTGGCTTATTATTTTTTGCAGACTGTTAGAGCAATTTTATAAAAGTAAGCTTGAACTTTCGATTATGTCAAATAGAATTTCCGATTCTGGAGCTGCCAAAGGATCTACAAAGCAAAAGCATGCTTCGATGTCCATTAAGCAAAAAAATACAAAGAAAGGACGAGTATTTGCTCCCAGCTTTATCATTAAGGAACGTATCGTCCGGCAATAACGGATATCCATGGTCGTACGTCCTTAATTTTTCAAATGATTTTTGTCCTTAAAAGTCCTTAATTTTGGCCAAAATGAATAAACGGTCCTTAATTTTGCTCATTTGACATTTCTTATCATTTCTAATGATTGCCATTCTAAGTGTGAATTGCGATTTCTCATGAATATGGAATTAAAATTACACGGCTCTTAACCAATCTGTTGGCGGATTTGCGTTGCAAACAATCGAAAAAAAAAAAAAAAAAAAAAATTAGCTACCCGAACGAAAGTATCGGTGTCTGATTGGCTATTCACCCAATCTTTCGAAACAGGTGTTATCCATAAATTTAGGCAGATTGTGACGAAAGCGTGAAGCCGGAAGTTCTTTAAGAGGCGAAAGTGATGATGAAGGTGCTCGAGAAAAAAAAAGGGGGGGGATTCTGAAAATATTTGCCAAAATTAGAGCAATTCCCAACCTGGAAGGCCACAACCCTTCCGTTCAATAAACTGTGGCGTCATCAAGCTAACTACAAAGACTGGATATTGATGGATGACAATCCTTATAAAGCTAAATGTGGTCTTTGTTTGAAACAAATTGAAATTTTTCTAGAATGGGAGAGTCAGCGCTGAAAATTCACATGAAAATTAAGTTTCGTTTTATCATTTCAATTTGTTTTTACACGGTTTTGCTTAGCTTAATTTCTGTGTTTGTTTCAATTAAGCCATAAATTAATTTTTTTATCACCTTCTACGGAGTTTATTCTCTTTTGCACATACTATATGTATGGGATATCGGGATTATGAGTTTATTTCTGCAGAGGGTCTGTTATCGATTTCGCGGGAAATCTGTTGGCTCCATTTCGATTTTAGGTCGCCAAGGGCAAATTCGGTAACGCTAGCCGAGAAAAAGTGAAGTTCGGAAATACGTTTTGAAGCTTCAATAGACAATTAAGTATTTGGTTTAATCCTATGCTGTTGATAGTAATGCATTATTTTTGCTAATGGCGATACAATTATTAGTTGAAAACAACTAATTAAAAATTTTTTAATATTTTTAAAGCTGAAAACAACTAATTGAAACTAATTTTCCTGAATTAACTAGACGCAAAATTAACTTTCATGAATTACTAAAGTTATTGGGTAGAAGTTTAACTGAAAATATGCTTTAGATGTTCAAAGTCCCAGCGTTGAAAGAGCCATTGAATATGGATGACTTGCTGTACTTAAAGAAGTTGAAATAAGTTTAAAAAAATTCATCAATCCTTCTCAATTTTTGGGCAAATAAAACATTTTAAATTAATTTTTTTCTCTCTGTAAAATTTATTGCCTTTCCTTGAATGTTATCACAGTGATGAATCACTTATTCCCTTTTTTGCTGAAGATATCGTTTAAAACTTGTAAATGATTGCCTTCAGCACTTTAAAATTTTGAAACTAGAATATTCAAAAACTAAAGCAGAAAATTCTTATAAATTTTAATTTTAATGCATCCAAATTGTTATAATGATAAAGTAAAGTTTATTTGGGATTCATTGCTGAGCAGTTAATGAATGATAAATGGCATGAAGGACATTTCACAAGCCGAAAGTTTTGCATTGAAATAAGGTGGTCAACAATGTGTCTTAACAATGGTACAACACTTAATGTCTAAATGTTCAATAAATTATTCTCTTATTTGAAATGCATCTTGTATAGACCCGCGATTGATGGTAAAAAGCCCAGAACAAAATGAAAATAGTTCTAACGGTATTAATGCAGAAACGTGTTTTACAAATGATTGGGATTGAAATTCTGCTGCAGTTTGGTGAGTTTTCTAGACAAAGTAGTTAAAACAAATTTACATGAATTTTCTACTTTTGATCCTCAAAATCTTTCTCTTGACACATTTCTCACTTCTTATTTTCATGATTTTCACTATTCAGAAGTATGGAAAATAGTGAAAATGATTCTTATCTTGTCACATGGACAGGCCTCTGTGGAAAGGGGCTTCTCTGTAAATAAAGCAATTGAAATTGAAAATTTAAGTGACTCGTACATTTTTCAACGCACAGTATTTGATTACATAAAATTTTCTGGAGATGTTCTTAATATCGAAATTAATAAAGAAATGAGATCAGCAGCTTCTGCAAGGTCTAAATATATGCAGTATTTAGAAGAACAAAAATCTTTAACTAAATCTGAAAATTCAAAGAGGAAAGAAATATCATTGAGGAAGAAATTGATTATATGAAGCAGAAGAAAAATTTCTTCAAAGGGACATTAAAGATATTAATGAAGAAGAGATGCTTTAGCAGATGAAGTTGAGACCAGCAGGAACATTGATTTGTTTATCAAAGCAAATGAACTTAGAAGAAAAGTTAAGACATAATAAATTAGATGTTAAAATAGCTGAAAAGATTTCAGATTTAAAAAAGCACAAATGTTTTGTATCTTTTATTGTACAGTTTATTATTCTAGTATCTTTCAAAAACCAAGGAAATAAATTGTATGTTTACAAATCAGTTATTTTAATCTGCAAATATTCTTACATTGTGATTATAATAGTAGTTGACTGTGTTTAAAT